GGCCGGGACCGGGAGGGCGACGCCGGGACGCCCCCGTCAGCGGCGGAAGTCCACTCGGCCCGCCCTGCGACTTTGAAACCGGTGCCCCGGTCCGCTCCTTGGAGACGGTGACGCCGCTTGCGTCATCAGGCGGGCGCCGGCGCGGACGCCGACGTCATCGCCCGCCCGCGCGTGCTCGCACGCGATTGGCTCGCTGACCGGTCGTGGGCGGAGCCGTGGGAACCTGGATGACAGCGGGCGGAGCCACCTGCTTGGCGCGCCGGCCACGCTGGCCGGCCTGTGTCTCCAGGAGGTGGGACCAAACGTCTTTTTTTTTTTTTTAAACCCAAAATGTAAACACGGGAAGGGCATTATATATATTGTTTAAATGCCGTCTGTCTCTTTGGGTTACTGACATGCCAAGCACTTCTGGACTTTTGTCAACGATGCGGGGGATCTTGCGGCTGGGGCGGACCCCAGATTGGCATCTTCAGAGCCCACCAGGCTGGACTTCCGCGGGATTTCTGGGTGCGGACTGGGTCATCTCCAGAAGGTAGGTACCCTCCTGCCCCTCGCGGGTCTTTTGGAAGGCGACACTGTTGTTTAAATATTTAGCTGTGTGGTTAGAAGTCCTCAAAATGTCCTGCAAGCTCTGCAGCTGTGGCTTCAGAGATAACTTGGCTTTCTCAAACAGAAGGAAACGTAAAAGTTACATTTATTTTGCAAAAAAAAAAAAAAAAAATAGATAAAACTTATAACTGTGGGTAGATTACAATTTCCATTCTTTAAAAAAAACTGATTTTTGTCTGGGTTTAAAACATAGCATTTTAAAAAACACAACATTGGAGGAAATCTCATCACTAGCAATAAAAAATCTTAACTTGAAACTAATCGCTAGTTTCAGGGCTTTTTAACAAATTACATTTTTATGGATTGAAGTAAAGTTTCACTAAACAGTCATGCCATAGATGCAGCCGATTTGGCTTTCAGTTTAACAGCTTAAGAAGTTGTGTTTTCCCGAACTCATAATTTATATAAACACAGTGATGTTAGCCAGATGTATTAAGAAATGTTAAAAGTGCATCCCAATGCTTCCAGTTAGGGGTCTGAAGGCCTGTTTTGGGCCTTGCTCCATACTCACTATCAAGAGAATGTGATGCGGACACACATGGGCATAAAGAGTGGAATAATAGACAGGAGATTACAGATGCTGGGAGGGTGAGAGGGAGTTAGTGTTGGAAAATGGTGTGAGAAACGTACACCAGCTCAATATATTTTTAAAAAGTTTAAAAAGAAAATGAGGCCGGGAGCAGTGGCTCACACCTGTAATCTCACCATTTTGGGAGGCCAAGGCAGGAGGATCGCTTCAGGCCTGGAGTTTGAGACCAACCTGGGCAACAGAGCAAGACCTCATCTCTATTCTTTAAAAAAGTTTTTAATTATAAAAGTACAAAAAGAGAGTGTCTTCTTGTAAAGACTAGCCTCCTCTAATTATGGATATGTAACTAATAACCATAAAAAAGGTTTCATTTAGCTTTGAGTCAGTGAATGTTGGCTCTGGTTGATATTCTGGTTTTCAGTGGTCACAAAGTTTACCCAAAAACTTGTTGGAAGGGAACACTAAGTGTGTGAGCTCCAACTTTTCTGAAGTGCAGCGTGTGACTCTTTCTTCATGAACTTCTCCGCTGACTCCCAAGGACTTGCTTGCCACTTTCCCTATATTTGAACCGTGTACATTGCCATACTGTGACTTTTCATGGCATCAAACCCATAAGAATTATAAACCTAATTCTACATTTACCCTCAAAGTTGATAAAGCTGTATTAGTGTGGATGAAAGCAAAGAGGACCTTCCGGATATAGACGATAAGTGGTATTTACATAAATGGAATATCCAAAATGGGAATGTTTATGTCTGAAGTCGCATTACTTGGCTTATATGGTCATGGCCAAGGTTAAGACTAAACCATGCGTTTATGGTTTGTTTCCATGTGTGTTTGTTGATACTTTACCGCTTGAATTTTAATGGGGCATCTTCAAAATAATTCTCATCTTTGGGAAACAAAACGGTGATGATTCCACTTCTCCTGAAAGTGTCCCCTTCACGGTTTCTCCTTCCTAAATCTTCTCCCGAGTTCTTCCTCCACTTCCCCCAAGACAAGGGGCCATCTTGGTTCCTGATGCTTCTTCCTGGCCTCCTTCATGTTGTTTCACGGCTTGTCTCCAGGCGCCATCATAACACCTGGCGCTCAAGGGGCTTGGTGAATGTCAGATGAAGGAATGAGCGAATTCAGAGAACGTGCCTGGAGACGGCCCGTGAGGACAAGCCGAGCACAAGGATGGAGAAGTGGAAGCCTCTTACGATGCGTCCAGCCATTCTCAAGCCACGACTTTCCTGCCGCTGACAGCCCCCGAGACGCGTTTTTTTGACACGACTTTCCTGCCGCTGACAGCCCCCGAGACGCGTATCGCCGGCAAATGAGCGCGTTTCACGAACAGGAGCGACCCCGACGCGGGGCTTGGAGCTCCCGGA